CTAATAAATCTAACATGGTCATGGTCACCCTCCACAAACTTGCACTCAGGAACACACAATAGGGAATTGCCCCTTACAACTTGCTTTTGTTTTCCCTCATAGTTGGTAAAAGCACATGGACATACATATACATATATATATATATATACTGTACATATTCCCACAGTTTGTTTAATATAAAAATATTGTGTTTTCTGCAGCAGGGAATTCTTTTGTTAATTACATTTTCTTCATTCACACATTAGTCACAGATCCAAAGGCCAGGACATCCAATGTGGTTTGTGTTTGTGGGGTATAAGTGTATGCATATGTTTAATTCTGTAATGCTAAATATAATGCAAATGCTAATCTATATAAATAACAGTTTATTATACAAGTAGTACATATGGAGATATAATTACATACAGCATTCTTTTTAATTAGTTGTTTTTCTTGCCCACAATAATCCACTGTGCCCACTCAGACTGTTAAATTACATGTCAAATTGTCACAAACAACAGCGAATGAGAAAACTCAAATGAGAAACTACACATCATAGTTCTTGAAAACATTGAAGCCCCTCATTCTGTTAAGGGATATGGGTCCACCTGGATACCCAGACACAGGTTAACAAATAGATCTGCAGAAAGTTTCCTGAGCACTCCTTGATTGTTTGCATCCATCCACAATATTCTGTGTCCATATACAAGTAATTAACCCCCACCATAATAATTAGCTGTCTACAGGAAGCGGAGATATGCTGAATTAAATGTTTTGTGTGGGCTTTGGCCACATGAAAGTTTTCATTAGTTTTCCTCCCACCGTCTGTGTGAAATGCTGTCACTGGGTCTGTATCTTACTGACAAAACGTGTCTCACAGGCCTGACAGCGTGCAGATTGGTGCAAGAACTTGTGACAAGAAATAGAACACCACTAAAACTTGCCATGGAGGAAGGAACTGCATGGGTGAACAACTTCAGGGTTGATAAAGTTGTTGCTAAACTAAGGCAGAGCGTTTTGTGTCTGTTGGTCAGAGGGAGGGAACCAAAGGTTGTGATTTGTGTCTGTAATTGGTGCTTTTATCTGAGCCCTTCTCATATTGGGATATCCTGTGTTAACTTCTGGCTCCATTTTTCTTTAACCCCGGTGATTTGCAGAACTGTGTGTTTTTTGTAATTGAACAGGGTTGTTGATGTTTTTTTGGAGCGGTTTCCTGTTTGACCTTATTTTGCACCGGTAAATTGTCATTGTATGATCTTTAATGGTTTTGGATGCAAAACCCCTGACATTTGGTTAGGATTCTGATTGTTATTTTGTCAGTCTGTCTGTGAATCACCTGGCTTGGTCATTTTGATCGTTTGGTTAAACAAAACGTCAAACAGAGGCGTGATAATTTGAGTAGTTCCTATTTCTGCCTAAATTATAGCTGTAATATGCAATTTCTTTACCACTAGTATATAAACTCTTAAGCCTGAAATTTCTTGACATCCTCAACAGATGAGATTTGAACATGGCAATTTAAAATGTTTCCACTGTCGCTGTGTCTCTCAGACACGCTCAGGCACAAACCATGTGATTTGTAAGGTAAAGTCTTCTTTGACCTCAAGACTGCATTCAAGTCACTTGCTAAATCTTTAAAACGATTAATACAAAAATAAGTTGTTTTGCTGTCTTTATTAAGCACATATTTGACCACTGTCATATAAGACAACAACAACAATAATAATAAGTCTTTGTCTGAAACATTAATTACTTGTACAGTATGGTAATGTAGATTATACTTTTCCCATCAATGTTATGGGTTTTAAAGAAATAAAAATGGATTACATTAAAATGCATTAAATTGATCAAAAGTGGCAGTAAAGACATTTACATTATTACAAAAGATTCAAATAAAATGCTTCACAATTAAAAAAAAAAAAAAAAAAAAACATTTTCAACTATGATGATAATAAAAAATGCTAATTGAGCACCAAATCAACATATTACTGAAGAATCATGTGATACTCATGACTGGAGTAATAGCGGCTGAAAATTCAGCTTTGCAATCACAGGAACACTTAATGTTAAACTAGAAAACAATTATTTTAAATTGTATTAATATTTCACTCGATTACTATTTTACTATAGGCTACGTTCACACAGCAGCAGAATACGGTTGTCAATCCTGTATCTGAGTCCTTAATACGGTTGCGTTCACACACAGTTTGGTTATTTACGGGTGTGACAACCGCATTCTGTAACCGAACTCACACCCGTACATTTTTAGGACTCACAACCGCATTCTCGGAACACACGCGCTGTGTGAACGGAACAGGACTGGACAACTAGTTGTCTGTCACGTCCAGGGGCGTAAATTTCATCTAACAGTTGGGGGGGACAATAAACATAAAATTTCTTAAGAGCAATTTTTGAAGGGGACACAAATAATATAGCTAAAATTGTACTTGTAAGGATATGTATGCACAGAGGAAAGCCTTACTACTATTAGTGTAGTGGGGAGACTGTGCCAAATTAGACAACGTCAAGCTGTTGTGGTCGTGCCGCGACAGCGCTTGTGTCCGTTGTAGACGTTAATACAGTGTTGCCAAGTCCGTGGTTTTCCCGTGGAATTGGGCTACTTTATCACTGTTGCCGTGGGTTATTTTTCGTGTCTGCAGGTTGAAGCGACCCCAATAACATGTATTTTAGCCCCCGGAACACGATTTTTATAGCGGTATACAAACGAACATGGAACAATACATTTATTAATCTGTGTTAGTGTTAGTTAATAAAAAGACAATCGTTCAGTGTTTGTTCATGTTTTTGTTGCTGTTACGTGACGTAGCGGTGTCTGACTAGGGGCGAGACGTGGGCTGATGCTGACGCTGTACACACGAAAACGCAAGGGCGTCGTTTTCAGATTTATCCGCTCTGGGACCCGGTTTCAAAAAATATCGGGTTCACTCTCCCAAAACACTGGTGTACTGATGAAACATGCTACCTATCAGATTGTGCTACCAAAAATATATTTACATTGTTTTAGGGGTAAGGGTAGGTGTGGACGGGTAGGTTTAGGGTAGGGGTAGGTATGGACATTAAAAAAGCCTCAAACCACATGAATAAGATGCTGGTAGCACAATCTGATAGGTAGCATTTTTCGCTATCGTTTTGTGCTACCTATCTTTTTAATAGGGGTAGCACAATCTGAGCGGGTAGCACAAATCGTCAGAAAACCGGATCTGTCTAGACGAAATGCCTATACGATACAAAATGTAAGCGTATACAGCTAAACGCGTCTTCGTGTGGACAGGGCCTTATTTGAAAACTACATGGTTTGTGTGTTGGAGCAGGTTTGGAACTAAAGTCTGCGGGGCTGCGGCCCTCCAGGAACTGAGTTTGACACCCCTGGTGTAGGTGATGTAAAAGAGGAAAGCAGGCATTTGGACCAAAGCACTGTGAGGCAAGGGAGGGGGAGACGCAAAATGTTTCTAAACTTAAAATGCATTTTTGCCCCGTTTGTGTTGTTTTACTGCCTACACAATTATTTAAAGTGTAAAACATTGGTATTTACAATACACAGCTGGTTTTTAATCATATTTTGAGGGGGGACAACCCTCAGACGAACCTCCACCTATGGTCACATCAGTGCGAGAGGGAGCCGCTCTGCCGCAACGCGTCTACCGTGTGTTGCATGTTTTTATGTCTGTTTTGCCCTCCAGGAACTGAGTTTGACACCCCTGGTGTAGGTGATGTAAAAGAGGAAAGCAGGCATTTGGACCAAAGCACTGTGAGGCAAGGGAGGGGGAGACGCAAAATGTTTCTAAACTTAAAATGCATTTTTGCCCCGTTTGTGTTGTTTTACTGCCTACACAATTATTTAAAGTGTAAAACATTGGTATTTACAATACACAGCTGGTTTTTAATCATATTTTGAGGGGGGACAACCCTCAGATGGGGGGGTCCTGTCCCCCCCGAACCCCCCGGGATTTCCACCTATGGTCACATCAGTGCGAGAGGGAGCCGCTCTGCCGCAACGCGTCTACCGTGTGTTGCATGTTTTTATGTCTGTTTTCAGCAACTTACAATGACAGTGAAATGAGCTGTGTGTCATTTGAACGTTTAGAGCCCGTCAGTTTTGTGTTCTGCATGCGATTCAAATGCTCTGCTCTCCACCCAAATTCAAAAGCTGATGTTGATTAATGAAGATTTGACGAATGAACTCGCGGCTCGATTGGACTCTTGTCATGTCAGAAAGTGATAAGACTTTCAGTTTTATGGACGTCGCCATCTTTGATTTTACTTTGGTCACTGTCTCTATGGTTACTAGTAAGGAATACGGGCTTGACTCCCGTTGCACGTTCATACAGCAAGTATTCCCTCTAGACACGCCCCTGCGTCCACATGCAAACACAGTATCAGGTCACTGAAAACAAACCTTTTTGAAAACTCCTGCCAGAGTGAAGATTTTCAGAAACTCCACTTGCAGTGTTGTCATGTAGCCGGAGGGGTGTGAAACAGGAGATTTTGGTTTGTGATATCGGAGTGTACACCGAAAACAACCAGAAAAAAACTTTTTTTTTCAGGCTTCTGATTGGCCAACATGGCTTTAGGGTTAGAGTTATATCGCCACCTGTTAGTTTGGAATGCTCTTGACAGCATTTCATAGCATGTTTTTGCGGGGGGTTTTTTATACGAAGGAGGAAAAACTCCTTTTATATAAATATCCATGTATGTGTGGACTAGGCCTTCACTTTAACTTCTGAAACCTCAGCAACAGTCTTGACGTCTGAGTTATTTGTTAGACTGATGACCTTGTTAGGCTGATGATCCTTCTAATTAAGAGAGGCTTGTGCACATCCATGAAAATCTGTTGCATCAACCCATCATTAATTAGCCTGCCGTTATCTTGTTATGGTAAATGACACCGTGTTTTATATTATGTTTGTGAGATTTGTGCTCCTATACATTTTGCATGATTACTGTGTGATTGAGAGTGTACATTATGTATAACCGCGGCGTGTATCTTTGTTGTGTTTTAGGGTCATCCTGAGGAGGAACTGGACCGTCTGACTAAGAAGATGCTGTATGACATGGACAATCCCCCCTCTGAGGAGTATTTTGGTATGTGACCAGTGTACCTCACACAAACCTTACATTGATTTCTCTAGCAGCTAGACCTCAAAATTATTCTTATTTTGGTGCATTTCAAATACAGTGGTGCCAAAAAAGGATGTTCACAGTTAATGTGAGAACATACAACTGTGTGGGACACCTGTGTAGGGTTGCCAACTTCAGAAAATGAAAATAAGGGACAACTGTGATTCTTTATAGGAAAATAAGGGACAGAATAAGGGACGCTCAAAATATTTGTTCTGCATCACATAGAATATGTAATTTCCGTGTCTACAGTTAAGTATGTCTATAAAAGTTTCTCAGAAATAATCACATTTGTTTTGCTTAACCTATGTACAATTATTCTAAAAATAAAGTTTAATGTCATACAAAAAATGTCACACGTTATACACAAAGCATCGGCCTGAAAGTGGTGTAGTAATTTAGGAGGTGAATATACAGTGAAATTACATACAATAGCCTATGGCATAAAATTTGAAAGTATAACAACTGAACGTCTATGAAACTTCAATCAATAAAGCATTGTTTTTAAACAATGACATTTAAAATTTTGAACTAAAATTTTATTGCAACCATGTAGCCTATGAATTCATGAAAATTAATATTTTTCAATTAAAGAGAACTTGGAGTGTGTGGACTGCTTTTGGTGCTTGAATTTGTTCTTCAATATTAATGAGGTCCAGGTTTAGGAATATGCTAGAAGTTACAATTTTAAAAATATGTAATTTTGTTTCTCTATCTAACAACGTTAACTTACAATACTGAAAGACGTCTTCCGTCAGGTAGATTTCTTGCCTAGGGTGTTGTGTTTATGGTCAATAATCACGTTCTTTGCATTCATCCAAACTGATTTGGCGAAATCAAAACTCGGATGGTGAAGGGGATTGTCGTTAGCATGAGCCCCGCTCGCTGTGAAGTGGGAGCAACCAGGCGGCAGAGGATTCTGCAAGGTCTTAAAGCATTCCTTGAGTGGTTACGTTTGCAATTCATTCAATGATTTGTGCAAAAATAATGATTAATTTGTTATTTGTATGGTCTAGATGGTCATATGGCGTATGCCTGCGAATATGGGACAAACTGCATTCCGTATAGCTTTCATACGGAACGCTTCTCTGATGCCTTAAATACGGGACAATTCCATATTAAACGGAACAGTTGGCAACCCTACACCTGTGTGAACATGAGGAGAACTGCCTTCTTACCGCCATTAAAAATAACCTTGTGCATAAAAAGTAATTGCAGAACTGGCTAATTTAAGTGTCTAAAAGTGTTTTAGGGTCACTATATGTATTTGTAAGCCAGGGTGACCTTATGTTCTCTTTTTCTGGGACATGTCCTGGCTGGGATTTCAAAATGTATCTAAAATGTCCGGGTTTTGGCTTTGTTTTCCTACTGAAATGCTCTCACATGCCAATATTGGTTGATTATGTACAATGCCTGGTCAAACTTTTTCAGTCGTTACCTTCAGCAAGTATCTAAACATAGGCTAACAAAGCCAAAACCTAGACATTTTAGGCAATTTAGAAATCCTGGCCACAGTACATGTCCGGGAACATATGGTCACCTTATGAGAACTGTACGTGTGTGCTTGTATGTGTGGCATACATAACATTTCCATCATAATTGGAATTTTCTCTGTACATTAACCTTTGTTCTGTGCTCTTTATATGAGGACACAAGCAAACATTATTTCCTGTCTTTTTGGGAAGCAGCTGTAGGCCATGGTTGCCTAATCCCTTTCCTGGAGAACTACCTTCCTGCAGAGTTCAGTTCCAGCTCTGCTCCAACAAACCTGTCTGTAATTATCAAGTGTTCTTGAGGATCGTAATTAGCTGGTTCAGGTGTGTTTGATTAGGGTTGGAGCAGAAAGGCAGATCTCTTGGAATAGGACTGGGAACCCCAGATGTAGACTATTTGTTGTTTTGCAGAAGTGTGATTAAGACTAAAGTATGTGTTGGAGTGTGTTTTGCTATATTCACATTCGTCCCTCCACCCCCAGCAGTCTGAGCTTCCCCCTTTTTACCGTAAGTGTTAGAAGACATTCCCTGCACTTCTTACAACCAGCTCTTACTGTCAGCTTTTATTTTCACTCTATAGTTGGGAAACAGAGCTCTCTGCTTCACACATCTACAGTACTCCTCCACTGTCTGAGAAATCCAATTTACATAAGGTTTTTTTCTTGTTGAAATTAGTAGTAGTATTAGTAGTAAAATGAAAAGAAAAATATCTATCTCTCTATCTATCTATCTATCTATCTATCCATCCATCTATCTATCTATCTATCTATCTGTCTCTCTGTCTGTCTGTCTATCTATCATCATAGACTTTTTAATGTTTTTAAAGGTGTCATATGATATGATATGATTTCAATTTTTCCTTTCTCTTTGGAGTGTTACAAGCTCTTGGTGCATAAAGAAGATCTGTAAAGTTGCAAAGATTAAAGTCTCAAATCCAAAGAGATATTATTTATAAAAGTTAAGAATCAACCACGCCTACCTAAAACGGCTCGTTCTAACACACCCCCACATGTCTACGTCACAATGTGGGAAGATTTGCATAATGCCGCCCAAATGTTCACGCAAAGAAAGAAGGTGTAACTTTTATTTTCGCTGTAGTATTGTTGTTGCCACCGCCGCCATGTCGTGAAGACGCTGTGTGTTTTGTTGTGAAAGCGAAACTACTTTGTTTGGCCTTTCAAACAAGGACGATATCCGCTTCTTCATGCCTGGAGCTTTCACCGTGGACGAAATGGAGTCTAGCCCGGGGTCGTCACATGTGGTTGCCGCAAGCCCGCCGGACGCTCCTTCGTCGAATCCGCTGGCCGCGCCGTTCTCAAGCCCACCGGCCTCTGCTCACTCTAGGCCGCGGCTCACTCTAGGTCTCCGGCCTCTGCTCACTCAAGGCCGCGGTGTGTGACGCTGTTTCATTGTGAAAGCGAAACTACTTTGTTTGGAAAAGTTGTATTTACAACACTGTTCCAGAACAGTTTAACCCAAATATTCAGATGTGTCCAGCACATTTTATGGAGGACTGTTTCCTGATTCTGGTAGAGTAGACTACAATGCCGGCTGTTCTGACTCACAGACTGCAAGTACGTTTTTTTATATTTAAAGAATTTGCCACTGACGATTCAAACGCGAGTTTTGAGAAGCGTAGAGTAGCACTTGTTGTTTGTCATTTCTCCGATCACAAATGCAGACATGGTTTTATGTTTACACAGTGCGATGCAACGCAACACGTAAAAAGAAAGTATTTATAGTCATTATAAGTCATTATAATCCTTAACTATGTCCCCACTGGATGCCTCGTTTATAATGGGTTTGAATGTTATTGTCTCTTCTCTCCGGTCAGACAGGGCATCACAATATGGTAAAGGGGCGTAACATTTCTGTCACACGCTTGAGGTATTCGGCCAATCACAATGCTCTGGATAGCTGGCCAATCAGAGCACACCTCGCTTTTCAGACCGATGAGCTTTGTAAAAATCGACGTGTTTCAGAAAGGCAGGGCATAGAGTAGAAACAATAATGTACAGTATGTGGAAAATAATGTGATTTTTTAACCTTAAACCGCATAAACACATTTCATTACACCAAATACACAAAATAATGTTCTTTTTAGCAGCATCATATGACCCCTTTAAAAGGAGTCTCTTTTCAGCATCAAGGAGATTCCCTTTCAAGGGAACTTCGAACTGCGTCCTCTAGGGTTCGCTATGGGGGAACGCCTCGTCGTGACCCGTGTCTGAAGCATACATTGAAAAAACACCAGCAACACGTTGGCCGGCGACAGCCCATGACGTCACTACTTAGCGACTTAGTATAAACAGGCGCCGGGAGAACATGTCATTCTCTTCTTCGTCTTCACTGACTGTTTTGTTTGAAGCGTGCATTTGAACATGGTAAGAGCGATCTCTATCCTATTATTATGGCGAGCACTAGCAGAACGTTTAGAGGATGTGTGCATCCGTGTTGTTGCTATTTGACACCTGATGACACACACGATCTCTGCATTTTTTGTTTGGGCGAGGAGCACGCATGCGATGTCCTTGAGGGGGCAATTTGCGTGCATTGTGAGTGTTTTTCAATGAAAAAGCTTGGCTCTCATTTGTCTCTTTTCAAGAAAAGAGGGGCAGCCATCTGCTTCCCGCGGTTCAGGACCCACCGCTGTTGATGCACGGAGGAGAATGAGCTGGTGGGGATCGCAGGTGGACCTGGCCGATAAGTTTAAAGAGGGACTTTCCCTCTCGCGCTCGTCGGCTGTGGATGAGAGAGAGCCGCTGGAGGATGATGTTATTTCTCTAACATCGTCTGATCCGGGGGCCAGTGCTCTGTTGGGTTCAGCCCAGGAGGAGCAGGAGATGTCTGAGGACGGTGAAGAGGCTGAGGCTGAACCTTCCCAATCCTCCTGCCCTGCGTATGATGAGCTGTTGGAAGTTATGGATCGCACCACGGCGAGGCTGGACTTACCATGGAAGCGGGCCAAGAAAGTGATGTCGCGAGGTTGCCTCGATGAGTGTTTTCTTTCTGACCATAACCCTCTAGCTCAGGTGAGCCTTCCATTTCTTCCTGATTTGCATACTGAGATCGAGAAGGAATGGAAGAGGCCATTTTCCTCACGCATCTATCGGTTCCAGCATATGAGTTATGCCAACATCGAGGCGATGCGTAAAAATGGCTATGAGAGGATGCCCCCTGTAGAAGAGACGCTGGCTAGCTATCTCTCTATGGGTGAGACGTACTCCCTTAATACTCCCTCCTTGCCATCTAAGCCCCTTCAGGATACATTGCGCTTAAATGGCAGGGCATACGCAGCAGCAGGTCAGGCTGTGGCTTCGTTGCACACTATGGCGGTGCTCCAGGCGTATCAGGCTGATCTGCTGAAAGACCTGGATAAAGGCGAGGGCCTTTCTCCTGATGAGGTAGCTGAGCTGCGCCGCACCACGGATCTTGCTCTCTGTGCTACTAAGCAGGCCGCCTCCGCTATGG